GTATTTTTTCTTCATTACATGTAAAAACAGTTTAGCATCTGACTTTTTTTTTTAAGGTTTTGAGTTTCAAATTTTATTCCTTCCTTCCTCCCCTCCCCCCTCCTTAAGACAGTAAGAAATCTGATATAGGTTATACATGTGTAATCATGTGAAACATTGCCACGTTAGTCATTTTTTTTTTTTTTGGCAATTGGGATTAAGTGACTTGCCCAGGGTCACACAGCTAGTAAGTGTCAAGTGTTTTGATCTGAGGCCGGATTTGAACTCAGGTCCTCCTGACTTCAGGGCTGGTGCTCTATCCACTGCACCGCCTAGCTGCCCCTATTAGTCATATTTTCAACCAGCATAATTGTTACTCTGGCAAAACCACAGTTCTTTAGAGCCTCAACTCTTCATGGTAAATAAGTGGATACATTCCATGAGATATAAGTTAAAGGTGATAATTTTCTTCTGATTTCACATTTTTCATGCCCTGTTTGGGAATGGACAAATAACTGATGGGAAAGAATATAATTTTGATTCAGGGAAATGTTTCAGATGAGAAATTTTAATAGATAACATTAACTAATAGCATTAATTAGGTTCAGCTACTTTGTTAATTACAACTATTGCTTTATTAATGGCAACAGTATTGTGCTTCATATATATATGATCTAGATTATGATAAAATGTGTAATCTTAAAAAGTACTTTATTCTAGAAGAACACTAAATGCTATGTATTTAGTAAAAGATCAATAATCCTTTAAAAGGTAATATATCCGGTAAACATTTTTTTGCTTTAATTGTGTTTTATATTAGGGAATTTCTAGAAACCAATTCAATGTTTTTTTTGAATATATTTTTATTCTTATATATTTTTATTCTATAAAAGAACAAGTTATTTGTTCTTTCTTTTAAAAACTCCACCCCCTATTTAGCTTTTATATAAAGAATTTGTAGAAAATCTCTAATACTAATTGTAATGTTTTGGCTGTTACTACTATGATTATCTGTAATACTTTATAAAGACTGATTCATCTGACCTACTCACATAAAACTGTTTTTCTGTATTCATTAAAAAGTGGATAAACAATGCTAATTTAAGGACTCATTATTTTAAAAAATTCCTGAGACAATTTATACATTCGGAATTTTAAATGTCAAATAATTTTTTCAACAGAAATTTTCAGTCATCATAAGATTTCAACATCTTAGTTTGCTACAGAATGTTTTATTAATTTAAACTTTTTTTGCAGGAATCCTTTAGTACTTCAAAATTTAAATTTATTATCCTAAAATTCAGTATAAACGACATTTGTATACTTTAGTACCTCACAATTTATTCTATATACTCTTAAAAACACCGTTCTTTTAACCTGTCAGCAACTCAGTTGAGCAGTCAAATTGTATTATTCAATATCTTGTCTGACATGAGGACAGCATGCTGAAGAGAAAGATATCACAAATTGGTGCCACACTTTGATAAATAAAGACATTTTATTTTTCACCAAGCTAATTCAATCCAGTTCAGTTAACTCATTTTTTTCCCCTTTAAGGACAGATCAAAAAAGGCAATCTGTGAATGACTGAGTTCATCATGTGTTTGACACATCAGTGTGAGAATAAAAAGCAGACTATGAGGGAGGGTTCCTGTCTTTACATTTAGACAATACCCGATAAAAAAGGCCTCTCGCTCAGATCTCCTTTATGTAGTAAGAAGGACAGAATGTCTCAGATCACTGTTAAAAACAGGTATAAGGGAAATTAACTAGGACTTGATTCACTAGATGCCTTTTCCCTTTTGGTTGTTACCTTATTCTAATATAATCATCCTAAAGTATTCTCATGTTTTTCATGGGGTTGTTGGCTTTCACATGAGTTACAAAATCCGTAGGCTTAGATAGGCTGGGCTCCCAATTTTTCACCACTTTAAGTTATTTTGCCTTTTAGATATTTTATATTCACTTATATATTCTTTGTATTTTTTCTTAATATCAAAGGAGCAAATTAAAAAAAAATGTGTAACTGCTATAAAGCCAAGTAGAATAAAATAAGTGAGAGCACATCCAATTTCCATTAAAAATGTTTAGTTCTTATGAAATTATTAAAACCAGATTTTTCTGGGTCTCTTTTGTTTTTACATCATCTGTATTTTGCCCTGAAACTTTTCCTCTCGACCATCCCCAAGAGGTATCCTTTATAGTACAGAATATTCTTAAAAAGAGGAAGAAAAAAAAAATCAGGAAAAGCAGTCAATACATCAGAAGAAGGGGGGGGGCACCTGCAGTGGTTGGAGCTCTGGCCTTGGAATTAGGAAGACCTGAGTTGAAATGCGGTCTCAGACACTAGCTGTGTGACCCTGGGCAAGTCACTTAACCATGATTGCCTCACCAAAAAAAACAAAAACAAAACAAAAAAACCACAACCTGCCATCATATGCAGTGTTGCACACTAGTGGAACCCCAACCTTTTTAGAAGAGGTTAGGGAAGATGTCTTCTCATATTTTGTATTTAGACCTAAGCGTCTTGTAATTTCACAATGTTCTGTTTCTAGTGGTTGTTTCCATTTACATGATAATCATTAGCAGCACTGTTTTCATGGCTCTGCTTACTTCACTTTAAATCAGTTCATGTAAGTTTTTCTGTGCTTCTCTGTATTTATTATAGCCATTTTTTTTACAGCATAAAAAATGTTTCATTATATTTGTATGCCACAATTTCTTTAGCCATTTCCCCAATCAATGATCACCTACTCTGTTTCTAGTTCTTTGATACAAGAAGTGCTGCTTCAGATATTTTGGTATTTATCGAGTCTTTTTTTTTGTTGTCAGTAGTCTTCTTGGAATATGTCTAGCAGTGTAATCTCTGGGTCAAAGGTTATGGATATTTTAGCTACTTTATTTGCTTAATTCCAAATTACTTTCTAGAATGGTTGTACTAAATTATAACTCTTACAACAGTGTATTCGTTTACTTGTTATTTAACAGCTCCTACAACATAGACCACTTCCATTTTATGTCATTTTGCCACTTTGCTGGGTATGATGTGAAACCTCAGAGTTGTTTTGATTCTCATTTCTGTTATTATTAGTTATTTAGAGCTCTAATGAACTTATAAATGTGATATGTTATTGATGCTTTTATCATAATATAAAACTTGTTTTATTATTTGAGGAAGTAAGTGTAAATCAAATATGAACAACCCAATTAATATGTGCATATGTGTGTCCATCTGTCCCTCTCTCTCTCCATATATACAAATATAACATATTTGTATAGCTGAACACTAACAGTGTGAAACTAGCCCATAGCAGCATAGAGCCAGACTTTGCTTAAGATTCTTATTTTTTTTTTTTTTTGCCTGAAAGGTTGATTTCTTATGTTATTTATTCTCATATCTTTCACCTTTTTTTCTAACAAATATGATCAATACCAACATCACACTTTTGAGTCCAAGCCTACAGTCAGTGCCTTAAAAAGGCCACAAGTAGCATTATATTTTATATCTGCTTCTTATGACTCCTTTAATTATCTGGTCCTCAGTTCACTTATTCCATTTTCTCAAAAGATGTAACACCTCACAACTCTTTACCTTCCATCCCGCAATTACATTTGATATGCATTATATGTAATTTTCTTATTTGATCCATGTGTTAAATGTTTAATCTTAATTAATATCGCTATATTTTTGTTGCCCATCTTGAATTTTAAATTGGATGGAAGAGCATATAAATTACTTGCTTTATACATTAGCTAATATAACCTGGTCCAATAATAAAGCAGTTCTGAACTCATGGTGTTATAGTATTGCAGTATCTCCTTGCCTAGGCCTGATAGAGATCCCTTAGTATCTACTGGGAGTTAATGTATGTTGGGCAAAAAATACCATCATCTTGATATTGAGGCTAGTTAATAACAAATAAAACTTGACGAATATGGTGGTTTGTTTGGGGATTATAAAACCTTTACTTTATGCCATGTGAATTTATGGAATGTGCTATATATAATGAGATGCTTTTATTATATATCTATATGTGTATATATATATTATATAGAGAGATGCTTTTAAAAAGTAACATAGTTAACATACACATAGACAAACATAGTAACATAGTTTATGTAGATTTAGTGTTTGATGTCTACATTCTTTATGTAGATCTCCCAAAAGTTAAGAAGTAAAATTAATAGCATACCCACAATCCATTTTAATTCAGTAATAGCAAACTTATTAAAAGCACAAGAGGTTTCCCCAGGGCTCAATGTTATGCTTTGTAGAAGGTGCAGTAGTTTTAAGTAACCAATGAAAATAATTGGTACCTACACAATCAATTGCATTTATCTCTTAAATAAATTGTTGGTTATTGTTCACTTCTTAAAGGACAGGCTTTATGGCAAAAGATTATTGTTACATTTAGAAATAAGCCTAATTTCTTCTCTTTTATTATTTTTTAGTCTGAATATTTAATTTTAAGGCCAGTATAAAGAAATACTTATGCCAAGAAGTGGTCTATACAACTCAGTATTGAGTCTTAGCAGTAGAATGATACATGGAAGATTAATTTTTGCTGAGATTAGACCTATGAATTAGAGGACTTTTGCCTCATTATTTTAATATCTTTGAAGTCCCAAACTTACTTAATTCTCCATAGATTCATATAAAAATATCCTGAGATACATGTGTCTTCTAGTGTTGCAGATATGGTATTAATAATATTAAATGTATAAATTTCATTTTTGTAAAGTATCTCTGTAGTTAATATTATTTTTACATTTGTATTTACTGCTTCAGGAGCAATAGATTTGACTCTTCATTTCTGAGGTGTACATAAATATACAATGCTTACCTCCAGATTTTAAATTTTAAGAGATAGTTTATGAATGCTATCATTGCTTTCCTTGTATTTGTTATTATTTAAGATATCACAGAAATTGCTTTGATATTGGTTTTAAAGAGTATAATTTTGCATGCAATGTAAGCTATATCTACTATTTGACATTTATGTATATTTTTTCTTACTCAGTTTTCATATGAAACCAACAAGCAGTGAAGATCTCAGGAAAATACTGGTGAGTAACAGCATTGTGAACTATTGAAATTTTTCTTTATTACTAGAGTTAAGTTACTAAAGTTCCTATAAAATAATATGAGAGTACAAAAAATGCCTTATGTATTACATGTAACAGGAAGTGGGATTCATAATGGCTATAAAATTTTTAGTAAATAGTATAATTATAGTAGAAGAGTTTTGAATACGTATTTCTTTTGTCTTGATATTGGTTTAAAGATAAAGTGAATATTTGTGTGTATATGTGTGTTCAAGAATATGGAAATGACAGTTGCAACAACGTTTTTGTTCATTATAATATGGATAACTTTGAAGCAAGAATAGTACTTGAATAACCTGAGTATCATATATGAAAAGCATTAGTTAATCTAGTGTCTGCCAATTCAAGACTAGATCTTCTTGCAAATACATTTGCTTTTTGCTCTGATGGCGAAGATTGTAAGTGTTCTAAGTATTCTATTTCCCTTTGAAAACTTTTGTAATCAGATGTATCTAGTGCCAGAATAAATACTTTTCCCAGTATTGAATATTAACATTTGCTCAATTTATTTCTTCTGGTTTTACTCCCCTTCTGTATAGTTGGGTCTATTGTAAGGTTATTGCTTAAAGTTGGATTTTATTTGTAACCAGCTTAGCACATCTTAAAATAAGTGATGAGCTGCTTTAGGAAAATGTGGATAAGTGTGGCCATGGTCTTGGTGTAAAAGTTCTCCCTGAATCTGGGGCTCTAATCCAAGAGGCTTGAAATTAGTTTGTGCTTAATGTGTATGATGTAGATGAGTAATGGTTTTTAAAAAGTGATAAATCACAATTTATGTGATGTAATATGCTTATAAGAAATGATGGATTTATTAGGGCTTATAGACTACTCAAAATATTTTCTTTTAATTCTCAGGCTATACAGAAAGTATTATAGAAGCAGTATGACTTTGTGCCATTTATGTAAATGAGTTATGTTTTAATATTTCATAAAAACCTAAGTTTCTATATATAATAGACTGATAGGAAATGTCAGAATATGTGAAGTCAGCTTTAGATCAGATAGTAAACTGAATTTTATCAGCCAGTTACTTAATCTCAAACAAAATAAAACATCAAAAAATTAACTTAACATGGTAGCTATTGTCTCTAAAGTAAACTTAATTACAATTTCTATGTGCTTGTAAATGTACTTCTCCAGCTCATGTAATTCATTACTGTAAAAGCATCCTTAGAATTCTTTAAAGAAATAAAACATGAAAATTGTTTTATTTAAAGGATTTAAAGGTGATAAAAGAATTCCTTGATGTGTGATTATTTTTCTTTGGAATACTAACTATCCTTAATGACAGTTAAAGGATTACTAGGTGTTGTTAAGTTAATGCAAGATATAATTAAAAGGAGAAAATACTTCCTCATACTGGTTATTGTTTTTTGAGGAAAAAGTATTTGAAAAATTTTTATGAAGATTATACGATGTTTGAAGTAATTTATATTAAGTTCTCCAATAATAGCAATCCACCAGGTTATTTTTTTCCCTCTGGACATAGTGTTTTGTAATTAAGTTTGTATGTCTTATATTCTGGTGCCAACACCTGTCTCTGAAAGCACAGTGTTTAAACAGGAGCAGTAGCCAGTTGAAAGGGCAGTGTGAGCTCTTTAAGGCCTAATTAAGAACTGAAAGGGAGATCAAGGGAGTAGGACAAAAGATGTGAAAGTAGCTGAGATGATATTCCCAGAGCAAAGTTCCTCATTAGAACAATAATGAGATGATCAGAGAATGCCAAGCCTTCATCTTATCTCTCTCTCTCTCCTCTAGTTGCCTTGGATGTCAGTTAGTACCCCACCAATATTTGGTTACCAGGACAACCTTTCTTTAAATCTTTAGCTATTTTGAGTCCTGGTAATTTGCTTTTGTTTAAATTTAAGTATTAAAAAAGATACACATTTCTTAGTTAAAAATGTAGAAATTTACGCATAAAGGAAAATATAGATTTTCTAGGAAACCAATGTCTTATGAATGTGTATGTTAATATAAAAAATTCAGAGTAGATAACATTCGTAATAGTTTCATTATTCTTTCACTCCATCCTCAAATCCTTAAAATATTCTTATTATCTCCATGTGGGGATTTTATTGGTGGGATGGGATGGGAAGATGGTTTGCATTGGATTTCAGCATAAGAAAACATCTTAAAAACATGTGCTATGTGGCATAAACTAGGAAACAATGTAGAACAATTAGGAATTGCATTGAATGCTTGTTTTAGAGTTTTGCCAGATTATATTTTTCCCAATATTGGCTCTTTTCCAAAGATAGTACATAAACTATTTTTAGATGATTAGAAGAATTTTATATTTGAATTCCAATTTAGCTTAATAATACTGCTAATATTGCTCTGTTTGTAGATAAATATATTTATGACCCAGTGGATCCCTGCATTTTAATTTTATTCACAAGTGAATATTTTTGCATCTTTACAATGTAAAATGATCTTTTTTCAGGTTTAGTATCAGGCAATATAAAAATCTTTTCTAAAAATAGAATTGCATAGTTTTTTCTAACCTGGAATAAAATCTCGAACTAAGATCCAACTGTGTTTTTAATTACTCTGTATTCTTTTCCAGAACATAGCTCATAATACATGTGTTTCTAAGATGTTTTCTTACTGCAAAACTTCATGCAAGATTTCTGGGGCATAATACTCACATAGACACAGGAAAGCTCCAGGAAATATACTCAAAAGTTTATCTAGTAGAAGCTGTCTTTTTTGGTAATGGTTTTACTTCCTGGAAGTCTATCTATATCTTAATATGTATTGGTTCTCACAGAGTTTTAGAACAATCAGTTATTTGGGGAAATTAAATTTCCACATGCTAATATTTTGGTCCTGGTTAATTTAAACTTCTGATCATTAAAACAGTCTTGAAATCTATTATTGCTTCTGTTTTCAGTGTCTCAAAAGAGGTGTTAGTTAAAAATAAAGCTTTTCTTTATAGTGTCTTATGATATCAGTATTTTTGGAATTATTGCAAAGGAATTTTGACAATGCATTGTAAATCTGGAAAACTGAGTGTATATATAATGCATATTTTCATTATTATGAGCAAGATGTTTATGTATAAATATCAGAGTTTTGTCAGAATGAGCAAGAATAAAGCCATACTACTTCATAATGTATCTTATATAGTTTCATTTATTTAATTCTCATACCTACTGATTTGTCACAGAATCATTGAAAGTCCCTGGTAAGGATAAATATTTCAGTGTGACAGTGAACTCTTCAAGGATTTTATTGCTTTTATAAAACCAAACACAAACCATACTACCTAGAATCTTAGACTTGGAAGGGAACTTAGACATCATCAAGAACAACTTCATTTAACATATAAAGAAACAGAGGTCCAGAGAGTTCAGTATTTCAGTTTACATTATTATGACAAAAATGATTCATTTGAGGTTCAGAATTTCAACTTCTATTTCTGGACAAGTCCTTTGGTCCAATATAATATGCTATCCCACTATGAAAATTGCTTGGAACAACCTATGTCATCTTGCTTTCAAATTGTGCTTGCTTCATTTTTTTCCTTATTAAAATCAGATCTCCAAGAGGAAAAAAAAAACCTCAGAAAAACTAAGTGATTTTAGATCCAAAATATTTTTTTAGGAATATTTTTTCTTAGGTGTATTTCTTAAATACATATAAAACCATGTATATTATATGTATCATATAATATATGTAGTTTGACACATTACATACATATATATATAGTTTGATATATGTAATATGAGGTTAGATCTTTTCAAAAGATCATTCGGAGACAGCTAATATGTTCAGATTAAATACGTTTACAAATTGAATTATTGTACATTGATAGCTACCACTAATTGAAATCAAACTAGTACTAAAGATATTTATCCTACCCTTATTTGTATATTCTTCAGAAGAAAGTTGGTTACATGAATAAGAGTGAAAAAGTATCTAGTGGTCAAAATATTAACCTCCCAGAAATAGACTGCACACCTAAAATATCTCATTAAAATTGAACAAAAGTATATACTTTTAAAATTATATAATACTCTACTTATAAAAATTGATTTATTTGGGAGAAAATTTATTTTTTCAAAACTAAATAAATGTCACATAAAACGTAAGATCTCTTAGCAAAATAAAGGAAGCCTAGGAAAAGGGTGTATTTTGAGTGTCATACTCCAAAATTTGAGTGTTTTGCATTGAAAGTCTACGAGTCAGTCAACAAGCATTTATTTGGAATCTACTTTGTGTTAGAATCTATACCAAGTGCTGGGGGATGCAAGTACAAAGAAGGAAATAATACTTTTAAAAGTTTAATTTCTAATGGAGGAAACTGACAACCTTTAAGTAAGGTGGTAGCCCTGAGTGGAAAGAAGGGGTCAGATTTTAGAGATGTAGTAGAGGTAGGAAGATTTGGCAACTGATTAGATATGTGGGGTAAGGGTGAGTGACAAGTTAAAGATGACGTTGATAATGAAGATAAAGTTAGGAACCTGAGAGACTCCGGGTGCCTTTGACAGGAATAGGGAAGTTGGGAAAAAGGAACAATTTGGGGAAAAGATAAACTTTGTTTTATATATCTTGAGGTTGTGCTGTCTCTGGGCCATCAGTTTGAAATGTCTGATAGGTCATTGGTAATGCAGGATTGAAGCTCAGGGAAGAAGCTAGATACACATCAGTGTCTATCTGTTGGCATGAATAGAGCTCTATATGCATAGATCTTTTCTTGCTGAGATTTTGTGTGTGTGTGTAGATATGAGTAATTGGTATATGGAGAGCCTAGGATAGGACTTTATAGCCAGCTGACACTGCCCATATTTAGGCTTCTTCTGGGTCATTCCTTTGATTGATTGCAAAGTTTAGAAATGTCATCTTGCCATGGAACTACTACCCTTGTTTTTCCTCACCTACCATCTAATCTTTACACTGAGTTCTCTGGTGCTGCCTTTGTGATTGAGCCTCAGCCTCGGAGTTAATTGTAAGCACAG